TTAACAAAGCGGGGGGGGGGGGGGTTTGTTAGCAGCCTTCAACTTCCTGAAGGGAGGTTCCAAAGAGGATGGAGAAAGGCTTTTCTCAGTAGGCTGTTCTCAGTAGTGACAGATGGCAGAACAAGGAGCAATGGTCTCAAATTACAGTGGGGGATGTCTAGATTGAATATTAGGAAAAACTATTTCACCAGGATGGTGGTGAAATACTGGAACGGGTTATCTAGAGAGGTGATGGAATCTCCATCCCTAGAGGTTTTTAAGTCTCGGCTTGACAAAGCCCTGGCTGGGATGATTTAGTTGGGATTGATCCTGCTTTGGGCAGGGGTCTGGACTTGGGGTACGTCTAGACTACATCCCTCTTTCAACAGAGCGAGGTAAATTAGGCATTTCAAAATTGCAAATGAAGCCAGGATTTTAATTTCCTGCACTTCATTTGCATAATCGCATCATGGTGCTCTTTCGAAAAAGCGCTATTTCGATAGTAAAAACCACAGTCTAGACGCGGTTCTTTCAAAAATAGAAGCCTTTTTTGAAAGATTCTGTAAACCTCATTTTTTGGGGTTTAAAGAGCACCATTACGTGATTATGCAAATGAAGCATGGGATATTTAAATCCTGGCTTCATTTGCACTTTTGAAGTGTTTCATTTACATCCCTCTACCGACAGAGGCATGTAGTCTAGACGTAGCCTAGATGACTTCCTGAAGTCTCTTGTAGCCCTATGATTCTATGACAGCCCTGGTTTGGAGGGGCAGCTGGAAAAGAGGTGAATTTAAAAGTCTGTACTGAGGTTTCAGTGTAGAATTAGCTAAGTGTTTTTGTTTCTTTTGATTTGTAATCTACTTTGCTCTGCCTGTTCTCACCTTATTACCACTTAGAGCCTACTGCTTGTACCTAATAAAATCACTTTATTTTCTATCAAACCCAGTGTAAACAATTATTACCTGGGAAAGCAGTCAGTGCACACATCCCCCTTTTTGTTGTTACATTGTTATGGGTGGCTTACCTAATTCTTTAGAATTTTATCCCATTTTGGGGAGTGGTATCCCAGGAAGCTGGGTCCTAAACTGCTCTGTCCTCAGACTTGCAGAGGTTTAGTGTCTGTACTGCTTCTCATGGGGGAGGAGGGTGTTTATGGGAGACGGCGGCGCCTGTCAGTGATCTCAGCTTGGGGTCTGAGCTGGTCCAGTAGGACTGAGTGGTGAGAAGTCCCCGAGAGCAGGAAGGCAAGTGGTAGCGGCCGTGTGATCCCACCCCCTCACACTAACATGCGTGCACATAGTATACATTTTCTCAGGGAAAGGGAAATTATTGTTAATGAAATAAAGTTTACTGTTGGGGGAGAAAAATGTTAAGTTTATTAAATGGTATTTTCTTTTCTGCTATGAGTATGTCCCATATCAGCTATTTTCCTTCTCTTCTACTACCCTTCCATTCTGGATACAGGCAGTCCCCGGGTTACGTACAAGATAGGGACTGTAGGTTTGTTCTTAAGTTGAATCTGTATGTAAGTCGGAACTGGCGTCCAGATTCAGCCGCTTTTCTCGCTTTTCTCAGCTGATTGTCAGGACAACACGGCAGTCAAGATGTGGATCGGTCAACAGGGTAAGCCTTTGTCAATCGCTCCTTTATGCCTCATGGCTGCTCAGGATGCTTTAAGGGAAGCTGAAAAAGCTTTGAAGCCCTTTCTAAGGCTGGTTTTCATTTTTGTATTGGCTGGATCTTTGGGAGAGAAATCCCTTTCAGATGAGACCACCATATCTTTTCTAGTCATATCACTGCAGAATCAATCTTTAGAATCATAGAATTGGAAAGGACCTCGAGACTTCATCAAGTCCAGTCCCTGCCCTCATGGCAGGACCAAGCACCATCTAGATCATCCCTGACAGATGTCTATCCAACCAGCTCTAGTGGTAGAGATTCCACAACCTCCCTAGGCAATTTATTCCAATGCTTAACCACCCTTACAGTTAGGAGGTTTTTCCTAATGTCCAACCTAATCTTTTGAGAGCAATTAACCATAGAAACAATTTAAAAATGGCCATGTTCCACACTTGTCTAAGGTTTCCCATCCTTAAAGAATGGGTATAGGGGAACTGCTTACTCAGGTGAGGATGTGGGAGGCGAGTATTTGTTTTGGGGCTTGTATTAGTGTTCTTTTTCAGGTTGGATCTGGATTATGGATGAAATCTTTTCGCACATGCTTCTGAATATTTCAGGGTGAAAACCTTGGCTGCATTTTCTCCATGTCTTGCTCAGAAATAGAACCTCAGAGGTCCCTTTCCTCAGCAGAAGAGAAGCTGCCTGAGTGAGATGACTTTTTATCTTTTCTTGCTCTCTTTAAGTGTTCTGAACAGTACAATCTTAAACAAGAGTAAAGAGTTTATTTTTTATTTGTATTTGGCACTATGTGACCATTGCTGGAATACTCTGTCCAATTTTGGTGGCCACAATTAACAAAGGATGTTTATAAATTGAAGAAGATTCAGATAAGAGTTGTGAAAATGATTAAAGGATTAGAAAACATGCCTTATAAGTGACAGACTCAAGTTCAATCTATTTAGCTTAACAAAAAAAAATAAATAAAAAAAATTAATGGATGACTTGATTATACTCTAAATGTACCTACATGGGGAACAAATACTTAATAATTAAGTCGTCAATCCAGGAGAGGGCTATAACAACATGCCCCAATGGCCAAAAATTGAAGCTAGACAAATTCAGACATAACATTTTAACTTGGAGAGCAATTAACATGGAAACAATTTATAAATGGCCATGGTCAACTCTCCATCACTGACAATTTTTAAATTCAGTCTAGATGTTTCTCTAAAAATATATGCTCTAAGAATTATTTTGGTGAAGTCCTATGGCCTAGGTTATACAAGCGATCAGACTAAATGACTACAATGGTACCTTCTAGCCTTAAAAATCTATAAAATCAAGAATAGATTTCTTTTTCTAAAAAAGAGCACTAGTTCAATCACAAATGATTGGACTTGATTTAAGAATTACTGGGTGAAGTTCAGTGTCATTCAAAAGATCAGATAAGAATAGTATTTCTCAAACTATGAGGCAGACCTCAGAAGGGAAGCATGGGAATGTATTAAGGGAGGTATGAACCATGTACCCTTATTTATTTAATTAAAAGCTCTGGCTGTCAGCCCAAGCTGCCTGGGTTATGTGCAGAAGAGTCATGCACATCCAGGAGACTGGGTAGGGAGGACAAATGAAGGTTTCCTCAATCTACTCACCTGAAGTCAGCTGGGCTTCAGCTATCAGACTGGGAGTGGTAGCAGCAACGCAGAAGAAAGAGTGGCAATAGAGTGCTAAGTCTGCTATGAAAAGTGTTATTAATAAATATCAATTTTCACTTTGCCACACTTACTTCTGCGCTGCTACTAGCACAGCACTGGCTTTACAGTTGGGCAACCTAGCAACAGCACTGTTCTACATTCTGCTGCAAAGCTGGGAGGGGTGGAGAAACAGTTGAGTACACAAACAACTACAGACACAAAGAAGTGGAACCAATCAAATAAGTTTGAGAACCACTGGACTAGATATCATCCCGGTCCCTCTGGCTTTAATCCACGAGTACCTTAACTCAAAAATGCAAATACCCACAGCATCTGGCACCAGTTACTTCATTGATTATGATGGCTCCTGCCTTAGACAAATGCCATGCAAAGTAAAGTGGCCAGAGTCCTAACAAAAGAGCACCACTCTTCCTGTTTGTCACATTGTGTATACAATTATAAATTGCTAACTATTTATGATAGGGACCATGCCTTAAATATCTCTGGAGCACACAGCAGCACATTTGGGTATTGCTGAAATAAAACAACAAACAGCCAAAATATTTAAGGCTATGACTACTCCGTATTTTAAGAAAAGTGCCTGTTCATCACACTAGACTTTTTAAATAAGTTTAGCGCTAATTAAAATACAATTAAAATACAATCTATTATCCCAGTGAACCAACCATTCTGCCCACCACCCACCAAAAAGGCAGACATTGTTTACTTTAGTATTTCTTCTCTGTTTCCATGATGATCTCTTTCTGAATTTATCTTGTCCCTTAAGCGATTCATTTCAGTGTCAAGACTCTTGACAGTTCTGTTGACTTCTATTCGTTGAGGATAGATTTGTGTGGCTTGTGCAATCCTTTCCTAAAGAGAAGTTTGAAATGCTAAAAAATGCTATACATTTTGGTTAATTTGTATTTTCCCCTTAGTAGCTAATACTTTCTATGGTGAAAAGCAATAAGAAAGAAATTCTGAATTCATTATTAAAGAGTTCTCCACTCTGGAATCCAGAGACGGTCCAGTGATATAACTGGAGGCTTCAGGACTAAGCTCTGTCTTTTCTCAGGCTACCAAAGAAAATGTCCAAAGTTGTAAGAAACACTCCAGCTACCAGTTATTACTATTAAGACAACCCAATGCAACATATTAAATTGTCTATGTCTAAATATCCTTCAGAGAAAAATTTCAAGCTATATTCCGGTCATTTACCAGACTACCAGGGTGAATGGAATTCATAGAGAAGCGGCTGAAAGAAATAAGGATGTGAAGGTTTAACCGGTTAACTGGTAAGGCTGTGGGGGTTCCACCATGGATAAGGGTTGCTCCAGCGCAGCCCTTGCCTGCAGCAGGCCCTGGCGCTTTGCAGGCAGGGGCTGCTTTGGTGTTCAAGCTGGAGGCAGCCTGTCTGCAGCAGGCTTGGGCATACCGCAGGCAGGGACTGCTCTGACCAGGATGCCAGAGCAGCCTCCTACTTACCTTCCTTTAATCAGTTAACTGGTTAAACACTATGTTTACCTAGTTAGCCAAATAAATGGGGGCGGGGGGAGAAGGGGAGGGAGGGAGGAAGGAAGTTAGTTATCTGGTAAGAAAAGTATCATTCTGTAAAGTTTCTCTGTTCTTTAATTACTCATGGGAAGTAACAAGCAGTGTTATCCTAGAGGTATGGAGAGAAAGAATAAGCTAAGTTTAATTATGATAGCAGAGTAATTTAGATGGAAGTTGCCCTTATATAAACCAAGAACTCTGTAAACTAAGGGGTTATGTGTGAATCAACACATGAGCACCTTCTTTCCAAAGGATGCCTTTGTAGAGGAATGAAAATGTTTTTGCAAATCTTCCTCAAATGAGCCTTGCAACCTCCACAACCTCTGATTTTAGGATCCTCTGTGCATAGTCTTCCTAGATGCCTAGCAAGCCATCTAGTGCACAATTTTTACGTTCTGTCTGTAGCAATCTAAAAATTGTAAGGTTTTAGCATTTGGACAGAATGAGATGAAACGCCACATACGTTCTTCAGGTATCTTTAGCAGTCAAGGAATGCCCATTTACATCACATCTTCCACTGCTTAAAAGAAAATGGAATTTCCCAAATATTGTGGAAAGGGAACTTATCTTGAAATGAAAGGTTTATGAAGCTATAAGTATAACCTTTCCCTGATGACAAATGCAATGTAGATGTTGTATGGACATGGGAATTAATTCCAAAACTTGCCTTTCAGAGGTAGTATGACTCGCAAGGCCAATCACAAGCTGGTATAATGTGCTTGAACATAACACCTGATACTCCAAGTAGTTGGTGACAAAAATGTTGTTCTGATTGCTATCCACATTTTTATAGTGCTTGGTTGTGGGATTCCAAACAAGCCTCCTGGAGAAACTCTAGTGCACCTGAAATCACATCAGAACTTTGGGATTATTATTGTATTTCTATGACAAATCATCTAGAGGTCAGGGACCCAGTAGGCTCGGGACTGCACAAAGAAGCAGTAATTACCCCAAAGATTTTTTGGTTTCTTCTCACACCAGGGAAGTAAACTGGATTATATCAATGAGGATACACCCTGATTCAGTTTTGTCTAGATATTTCTTCATAGGTATAATGTGGGGTCTTTGGCTACCTTGGAAATCCAAAGTGCTTTCTGGGCCAGAAAAGTATGACCACCACTACACCTCTCTCTACTTCTCTTTCCTGTACTCTTTATGTGAAGTGTCTTGAAAAGCAGCAAAACATTCTCTATCCAGAACACTGTCTTCATTATCAAGAAGAAGATTTTGACCTCTGATTAATGTCTGATTTAAGAGAAGATATAAACACTCAATGTCTCAATTATAAGCTAACCTCCAATAAGAGGTAGGAGGAGACTGCCCCTACAAGTATAATAAGTTATGTGGTTTCTTGTGCCTTGCCCAATGCAGCTGGTTACAGACTGGATAATGAACTCATTAAACCACTGATCTAATCCCATTGGGAAACATAGGTTTTATTTTTTTCTTTATAAAGATAAGAGGAAAAAAGCCACCATGACCATTGAGGTGCTGAAATGAGCTGTAAGGATGTGGTTTGAGGAAAATTTTATCTAGATTTCTTAGGAAGCTTCTACTCCCTTCTTCAAAAACAACTTAAAAATAGTCTTATGATACTTTAGAAACTAATAAAAATATATGAATGGATCATAAGGGGGCCACTGCGCCCCTGCTCCCTCCCACAGAGCAGGAGGGAAACCGGCTTTTAAACCGGCTCCCTCCAGCACCCCCTCTACTTCCCCTCCCTTTCTGCCTCTGATAGAGGCAGCAAGGGGGGGAAGCCACTAGTCGACTAGTGTGTCAACTATCCAATCAGCTTTTGCTTAAAATCTTTAGTCTGAATGGCTATAGATGTTTTGAAGATGCTGTGCAGTATGTCACACCTTTTACGATGTATGGGGTCTTCTAGAAAGAAGTTCCCTTTGAAAGTTTGACTATATTTCACTAGTAGAACTGCTGCTGCATCAATCTCAGGATCCCAAAATTTATTAAATCTGTTTTATACAAGCATTTTAATTTAACATTTGGCTTAATCAAATATCCTCATTTGAATTTTATGATGCCCTCATCAATAGGAAAGCCTATCTAATAATACTTGAAAAGAAAGAATATCAATGAGTTCTTTGCAAGTTACTGACTGGAATCCTGTCTTTGAAATGTCTTTTGTTTCTACTTATCTTTTGGAGATGTATTTATAGTACCTCTCCGCCTGGCTGTTTACAGAAGGAAGGGTAATATATTATTCATCCCTTCATGGGTACCACATGTTTTATGGTGGGAGGAAAGGGAACTGTGTAAGAGCACTAGTTCTTTCCCCTAGGGAACTAAAGATTTACTAGGGATGTTAGAGATCATGTAATTGAATAGTCATGAAACAGCATGAAATCTTAGTGGTTATACAACTATTCAATAGTCCCTGGGAGTGGGGCTGGTAGCCAGTGCACTCCCAGCCCCAGTCCTGGGAAGACCCTTACAGAGGCAGTAGCATGGGGTAGCATGAGAGGTAGCAGCGCACTGTGGCAGGCGGGAGCTGGTCTGCCAGAAGAGCTAGTTTAAAAAACCAACTCCCTTCACACACTGCTACCTCTGAGACAGAGGCAGCAGCATATGGTGGCAGCAGCCTAGACTTACCAGTTAATTGTGTAGTCATCTATATGATGACATCCCTAGGACTTACTTCAATATATTCAGGAGTCTGGGACAGAGGGAAGAAATGGGATTCTGGATCCTTTCAGGCCTTTTCCCTCTCCAGGCAAATCTGTTACAAGAATTTACCCAGAGTTGAACAGATAGCTTGTGTTTAGATTATGGCTCCTCTGGCAGGACGGGAAACTGACATGCTAATCTGACTGAGTCCTATATTCTGACAGTGCAACGATTTGATAGCTGAATCAGGCAGGACATAATTCACTTCTGTAAACATGTACACACTGCCTCACATAAGGAAAACTGCTTAGATTTAAATCAGGGGGTTTATAAGACAGTTCTGCTTTGCCTGAGCAAGGGGCACAGGTATATGGTAGGAAGGTTCTACAGTGGAAAGTCTGTTCATTGAATCCAAAAACTGCCAATCCAAGGGAAGAGAAGGTAAGAAGTTGCCACTGCATGAAAATAAATACAAATAAAACAAAATGGTCAGGAGAAACAGAACTGCCAATTTGTTCCAACACCAGACACACAAAATCTGGTGGAATGAGTTGAAGAGCAGAGCTTAATTCTGGAGCCTCCAGCAACACTAGACTGCCTCCAAATTCCACAGGAGTAATAGCCCATTAGTACTCTCTGAGAGAAGCTATGCAACAAGAAATTCATTTTCCAATAAAAGTGTGTGTCTTTTCTTGTTTGCACATAGCACTCAGTACCAGGGATGTAAAATCCTGTTTAGTTAGCCCGTTAAATGTTAAATTTAACTGGTTACCTGATTAAATGGGGACGGAAGGGAGGGACAGTGCCAGCCATGGCCAGGAGCGAGTGATCGAGTGGGAGTTGGAAGCCTCACACAGGGGGTGGGGGTGGAAGTGGCAGCAGCGGGGGAGGCATGAGGGCTGGGAGCTGGCAACCCCCTCATCCCTCCGCTGCTGCTTTCATCCTGTGTGAGCTGACAGCCCTCCCCTCTCCACCACTGCCAACCTCTGCCTCCTTCCCTGTGTGAGCCAGCACCCCCTGCAGAGATGAAGCAGTCAGCGCCCCTGCCCCTCAATGGGCTGTGGGTGGTGGGTTACTCCCAGGTAATAGTTAACCATTCACATCCCTACTCAGTTAACTGGTTACCCTTCACACCCCCTATTGAATACAATGGATCTGTTGATTAGGGTCCTTAGGTGGTATTAAAATTAAAATGTGTAGTTGTAATAAATTAATACAAAAAAGGAGTATCTGCAAGGTCCTACATATTTACAGCAATTTGTCTATATCTATCGATTATAAACTATATTTTAGGTACATAATCTAAATCAGTAAGTTTCTAAAATTCTCCCTTCTATTACTTTAACAAAAGAGTGAAACTGTACACCTTTAGCAATCTAGTGTTGTTTTAGTCACTTTTCCTTCATACTTGTAACTTAAAATGAAATTCTAAAGTCAATCTGGTAGCTCTGAAAAGGGGACATGTAGGATGCAGCATGTACCACAACTTCTCGATGCTCAACTTTAGAGTAAGCTAACTGCCCAAAGACTAACCAGCCCTAATGAGATATTCAATTCCAAAATCTGTGGTTCCTTGCAAGTTAGTGCAACAAGGAGGCTCCAAACCTTCAGGATACCAACAGCTCAGAGCAGCCATTGCATTGCCAAGATAGAATACCTTTAAACAATTGTTTGCTGATCAAAATTGTAATAAA